AGAAATTCAATTTCACAAAAAATAACGCCTTCTATCCTACTATATGCTTGTTTCATATTTTGATCAAGGATAGAGGACGTAAAAAAATGTGTATTTTAAAAAGCATAAGCTTCATTAATTAATGAGGTCGTTTTTAAATATATATCCATTCTTACTTCAAATGAGACTGAAAGGTAAACCAAGCAGTGCATACCCTAGTTATTGTTTCGTTATCAAGCCGAAATACTTAGAAAACAAGTTAGTGGATATCTGAAATTAGTATCACATGGCTGGAAACGTGTTTTTGTTCAAGTGATAGATTCTTGGTCCAAGCCTTAATGTGAACGTTAACACCAATGTGTAGATACATCCAGGTTGCCAATTAATCTCAAATACACCATAACACTCATTTTAAATCCCACCTACTAGCCACAATCTAAATATACTACACTGTTGTGATAAAAAGCCAGTGTTGTGGCATTTTTCCTAGGAGATGCACATGTGGTAATGTTCAATTTCAGTCTTGAATATTAGCAACATAAAAATTCAAGCCCTAACCCTTGAGAACTGTTATAATCAACCATTTAGTTCTATCCTTTCCCGAATTCCTATCTATAACTGCCTAATTGTTGGTCGCTTTCAATAAGACATATTGTACTCGTTTTTTTTTCAATTCACCATACATTTGATTACGATGTGACAATTTAACACCTTAGAGTTGTCTACCAAGATCTTTCTTTCCATTCTTGTCTTATATCACATCGAGCCATCTTATTCGGCATAATCACTTTTTTTTCTCTCTGTTAACTAATTGCTCCATCCATAAACTTCACTAGTTATTTATGTAATTGATTTATTACAGTGTGTGTGCATGGGTATAATAAGGATTCTGTGATGGACGTATAGATAAAAATTCACCTCCATGGAAAAGTTCAAGCCAAACAATAGTTAGTCATTATTGGATTTGGGGAAGGAAGTCCATGTGTTATAATCACCATTGTTATCACCATTTCTAATTGATTTCCAATTCACTGAATATCCTCTACTATTGACACCATACTCATGCTGTTATGGAGTGTAGTTTTGTGTACCCCATGGATCCACATAGTTTTATCGTTAAAATGACCAAAGAGAATTCCTAGTGAATAGACGACTATGTACGATGCAATATTACATGTTGTGACCTATTGATAATTGCTCACTAGACGGATACACTGACGTGACTTACCTACTTACTTACGTCTGCCACCCCTCGTGGAGGAGCATAGGCCGCCCACCAGCACTCTCCATCCAACCCTGTCTTGGGCAATCCTTTTCCACTTGCTATTTATTTATTTGAACACATAAATATTGGTACAAGGGGGCACCAAATATATATCACCAACCTGGTTAAAGCGTCGGACATTCGCTTCTCGTCCTCTCAATTTCGTAAACAACAATAATGCCGCGAGAAGTCAGTGAGTAGGACTTCCCTGGCAGAGGCTGTATACGCGTGTCTGTGTGAGAGCATTTTGAGCGATAGGGCGGGCCCTCCCCATTGTCGACTGTACCAGTTGCTGTCCATCCTTTTCATGTCTGCTTCCATTTCCAGAAGTAATGTATTCTTTAGCCTTCACGCTAACGTAAGTATCAGACTAATTTGGTGTCACCACACACCACAGCTGGACAATAGTCTCTTTTTCTCTAGTAAAATGACACTGATTTATAAAAATAAATTAATGTTATTCAATAACATGAGTGATTTGAGGATATGAGTTTTGTCGATCGCTCAGTCACTAAATGTACCAGATTATCAGACTTAGTTCCTGTTTTTCATATCACATGCAAATCTACGTATTTCCCTACTTGGGTGTTTGTTTGACTTCCTTTATTTCAAACATGTCCTCCAGGTATTTTTCTAAAAGCTTGTGCAAAACGGATCAGTCTTGAACGGTGGTACAGGATGATACGGTTCGAATCACATGGGAACTTTAGATACGTCCTGTTCGCGAATGATGTTTAGTATGAAATCTAAGTCCAGAGGTTCGTAATGACTTATTATTATTAGCTTTATCCAATATTATATTTTTGGTACAATATAGGATTCTCAGAACAAAGTATTTCAATAAGCTTTCGTTTCTTACTTCTTGGTCGATCCTGATGATAAATATTAAGTGATCGCCAGTTACAAGTTAGCAATCTAGTCAATCGACATCTTAATATTGTACGTTCTTTTCACTGCATATTGCCAGCAATTACATTATCTCTGGTTAGACCTTTTGTAACTTGTACAACGAAAGGTTTTACACTTTTCAGAAACGCACCTGAATATGTCTAACATTTCTGCTAATACTTACACATATTTCTTATTAATACAACGCCAATAGATTGTGTTTGAGCCTTTTCCACAAATTAACTAAAAGAGTCCCAATATTGAATAAATCCTATGGTATGTGAAGATTTTATTTTACTTCCTATAATTATCATCAACTTGTTAGTCGTTTGTTTAAATCAAAAATATTCTAGATCGGTAAACTTACACTCATAAAAATATAAAAATAAAAATTTTTTCTCAAGCACAAAACAACTAATGTGGATTGCAATTGAAAGACAATGTTTGTTGTCTTTATTTGATAGTAGTTTGATAGCTTTGATAATAAAATCCAGTCTTATCCACTTTTTTATAAGTTCTGTGTTTGCACGCACGGTCAAGGTATAAAGCTTATGTGTATGAACTGCATGTTGTAGTGACATAATGTTAATAATCTAAAATGCAATTAAAATCGATGTTTGGAATGAAAAGAGAGAAACACCACTCTTCTCTCGTCATTTTTTTGGCATACGAGTACTAATAATACTGCTCATTTACTTGTGTGAGTGTGTGTGCGGCCGAAGCCCATTCCAGAATACGCATTATCTGTGCTTGCTTTCTCTCCATAGCTTTCTCATCTCTATCTCTACTTATAATCGTTTTTATCTTTAAATGTTAACCACCAACGTTTTTTGTTGGAAAAAAATACTTCGCAGTGTAATTGGAATGACATTATGGCCACCGTTAGACCTGATATTAGTAGCTACTCAATCCTCTAAGTAGTTCGTCACTCTTTCTAAAGTTTCCAGTGATTCTTTATCTGCTTCCATCCTATAATAAAAAGCTCTTCACATTGAACAAATAATAATGATAATCGCATGCTCAGTTCTAACTGGCTTCAAAACGAATTTATTGAAATTTTGAACGAGAAACTGTGATTTATACGATCGAAAAAGTCAACCTGTTATCTTACTCTTAAACCCTTTGTGTACTTAACAGTCTTATTAAATTTTTATTGACCCGTTTACTTACCATTGTAATTTCTATATTCTCTAACCCTAATTTGTTGAATGGCAGTTGATTAGTTTAGTCTTGAAAATATCTGACCCTACGATACTTATTTTCATTAATGAGTTACACGTATATTCGAAAATGTAGGAAATGAATTTATCCTGCTCAGCTATTTTCATCAATTTAATGGTTAATTGTCTATTATCAATCAGATAAAGGTCAACCTTTCAGTAGTTAGTTATAAATAATGTAGCGTCTAAAACAAGTCTGTATCTAACTCAATTTGTTGTCTCAGAGTACTTTAACACGACCAGATGAATAATAAAAGATATTAAGGTATGTTCACGACAATATTTTTCTAAAAAAAGAACGTAATGTGAGGAAAATTGTTTAAAAAGGTGAAACAAAGGAATAAAAAGTATAAAATAATGTAGAAACGTACAGAACAAATACATCTACGTCATCGCATCACCAATTTCGCGCTGTACAACAACGTATTTTATGGAGTTACATCTGCATAATATGTAACTTATGTTTTACACTATTCAAAACGAAACTATACTTTTAATCACTCTTGGCCCCTTGTCTATGTGTATCGTTTTTCATAAGTAAATATTTTTTTGGTTTAGTAAGTTTGACCGCTATATCATCTGTTGTATTTTCTAATAAAAAACTACCGATACTACTACAGATATTCTATGTTGAATACAAAACTGCTTTTGACGTTGATGACAAATTCAGTATACCCTTATTTACTCATATATATATATATATATATATATATATATATATATATATATATATATATATATTTGACGAGATCATTTTTCACTGAACATTTATGTCAGATATACACATGTACTGAGATGAAGGTACACATTGTTGTCGTGAAAATCAACACAATTATTAATTAGTCTGATTATATTAGTAGTATACATGTTTCTATTTATTTATTTGTTTACTTATTTGAATGCATACACACATGTCTATGTTCTAGGCGTGTAATTCTGACCTGTTCACCAGTTATAACTTGAATATTAATTTCTTTTTGTGTTTATCATACATTTATAGTTTTAATCTCAACAGCTTAGTAGTTACTGCTATATTTTCTCTTTGTCTTCCTCTTTGAATTTCATCTCAGATTAAGTCAGTGTTCGTATGTAACCTACATTATTATTAATATTTTTATTATTATGAGCGAAATGAATTAATCCGTCATAAACTCACCTAAGCTACTCAACTTACAATTTTTCGTCGGTACTAAAATTCATTTCATCTACTATATCATAAATAATTTAAGTAGTATCGCTAGTTCTTATATAACAAAAATGAATACGACTCTGCACGAAGTCTTCCAGCTGTGGAATCTTAGTGAGATGAGTAGATAATTGTAACATGTTTTTGTACTATATATATATATATATATATATATATATATATATATATATATATATTATACATCATTTTTATTGGTGTAAGTAAAAAAGTTTCGGAACCTAAATTGTTGCCCACATAGTGTTGTAATCTGACTAGTTAGTGGTTGAAAAGTCACTGAGTGATACATACAAATACTCAAAGCAAACTTTATTTTACTATTGATACATTCAGTTTCATATAATTCCATAAAAATAATTTATTTTGGTTTGGATAAGTTCTGATAACTATTTTTTGTTAAAAAAGTACTTGCTATTATTCATTCATGTATTTTTCTGATATACAGATCCAGAAACTCAATCAGAAATCGATATTTCTAATATTCCTTGTCGAGTGTGTGGCGGTAGATCGTCTGGATTTCATTTCGGTGCATTGACATGTGAAGGATGTAAAGTAGGCTTTCGTTTGTCCATTTATTTGTTTTTCAGAAAATTATTTATTTGTCTTTTTTTTTTACCTTATAGCTCGTTGTTTTCAGCTCAGTACTTAAATCGAAATAATTCGATCAGTACTAGAAGGTGAACAAGTGACCACTCATTAAGGAAGTCAGCTTCCATGCAATTGTGTCCGTGATCACGTTTTTACTGTAACACTGAATGGTATAATAATAATAATAATAATGGTCTCCAATTTCATAGGTAGCATTGGTCTCATGGAAACTTTTCGAAACTTCCCCATACCTCTTTACGGTTAACTGTAGAACTTCTCACTCGGACCTTTCGTTTCTGCTTTCAGTCTCACCTGCTTGTTTAACATGATAGAACCTAAAGGAGTAGTGTACACGATGTTTGGAAACAGCATTCATTGTTCTAATCAATGTATAATCTGTCGTAAAAACAACTTTTTTTATAATTAATCATATTCATTTATTAGCATAAATGAATTATCCAAACAATCGTATATTATCACACCTTACTAGTATAATTCAAGGCTTTGTATATATTTGTAAACAAAATTGTATTAAGAGGGATTTTTGTTTTTTCGATTTATTCACTAATAATAATTATTAGTGGTATTTATGTTATAATAATAATACTTTTAGTTCATGGGATTAAGACATATTTTCATAGTGTATTTGTTAACCTATCCATCAAAACATGAAGCACTGAACTTTGGATTATCATTAATGCATATGATGATCATTTCTGTATTCTTGTTAGTAGTATTATTTTAGTAAAATTAGATATATATTTTTACAGGAAATTACTTTTTGTTTCTTCAACCCAACTAATAAATCAAACCATATCTAATAATATGAAGATTGCAATTTTTCTCCTCTTTTATTTTTGATCCATAAACTAATTTCATCATCGTCTATTGTACTATACATACGTAGATGAAACTTGATCCTAATCCCCTGGCAGTTAAATTTATTCTTTTTTTCTAATTCTTCAAAATTTTCTTTTGGTATTTTTGATCGTCAGAAAAACAAAATTGATTTCACTTGATAAATCGATTTTTACACAATACTATGTTCCAAAAGTTGGGACAATATTTTGTCATAGAAAATTATCAATACACACATACAAATAAATGGAGAAAATAAAACATACAACTTAGTCTATTATTTTCTTTTTTTATTTCACTGATTTATATTTTAACACAACATATTTGTCTGAAAATGCAAATAAATAAATTGCAGATAGAAACAAGAAAGAAAGAAAAAAAGCGAGAGAGAAGAAGGCGAAAAAAGCCATGGATTACATTACACATTTATTTTTAACCAGTAATGATATCATTTTATTTGTTTGATCGGGATTGATAAATGATCTGAATTTTGAATGGATCACATGCTTATATATTTAATTTATTAAAACTAAAAAGATGGTTTGTGTAAAATCAGCTTTAAATCATACAAAGTTAAAAAACAATTGATTGATCATTGAATAATAACTTGTATCATATTTGTTTAATCCTGCTTAATTGTGATCGAATTATATTAATCAAGTAATATGGCGATTAGCCTAAGTGACTCTTTATTGCATGTACTATCTTAAAATGTTAGGTAGTTTGAAGTGAAAGTCAATAGGAAACCTTGAATATCTCCTTGATGAGCACCGACCCCCAAATGCCCTGGTACGGTCGAGAGTGGGGAGAGTCCGCTCTCCCTCTCCAAATGCTCTCAGATGGCCACGCCTATATAGCCTCTGCCAGGGAAGTCCTACTCACTGCCTTCTCGCGGCATTATTGTTGTTTACGAAATTGAGAGGATGAGAAGCTAATGTCCGACGTTTAAACGGGTTGGTGGTGGACACAAAGGATCAACCTAGAGGAGTTGGAAAAACCCTGATTCCAAACCAATGGTGCACATGGGCTCCAGGATCCTGAGGGAACAAATGACAAATGAGTCAATCGTTGGTCACCGGCTACCATGGAACTGCATCTCCTCACGATGCTCCACTGCCTTGTGGATCAGACCTTTAGGTCAGAGGCTCCGGGTGTGGTCCTCTAAGTAAACCACCTGCTTCAGTTTGGGCACCTGGACAGTATCTCAGCCCTCACACAAATCGAATGAGATTTGTGCGGCGCATATTTATCTGGTGCTTCCTTGTACCAATATTTATGTGTTTAAATAAATAAATAAACCGACTAGCATTAAACTCTTAGTTCAGGTTTACCTATTAACCTAATAAGTCAACAGTAAAAAATCAGAAAGACTATTGTATGGTAGAACGACGGTTGGTAGTCTGACACATGAAACGTTTCTGTTTTTCCAACTAAAAATTGTCTTTCCATATTATCCTATTCTTAATTGATAAAAGGTTAAAAAAAAGATTCGTCAATATCATAAGCTGTTTTATTCCTTAGAATCCATTGTGAAGAGATTACTGTTTCCATATAAGACAATGTATGAATGATGTCAATTTTATCTTCTCCATTTATAATTATCTTGTATCTGGAGGAAATACAGTAGGCAAAAAGTAATGTTGAACTTTTCCTTCAACTTGTCAATTTATCAAAAGTTTTTCATGTCAAGTTTATATTTTGTCTTCGTTTGTTTTAGGGTTTCTTTCGTCGTACTGAAGGATCATCTAATTCATTAGTTTGTGTAGGTGGTCAAAATGCTTGCACAATAACACCTCGAAGTAGAAACGCTTGTAAAAGCTGTCGTTTTCGTCGATGTTTAGCTGCAGGAATGTCTAAAAAAGGTAAGAGATTTTGTTGTTGAATTGATTCGCTTTTATCTTCAGTGTAGTTAGTTGTATGTTCGGTTATGAGATACATATTAATGGATGGAAAAATATAGTTTAATTGAAAGATTTTTATACTTTGTACTTAAATTCTTATCCATTTTAGTCCTCATTTAACTAATTCACTCGTATTTCACAAGTCAGTTTTTCTAAGCTGTAGAGAATGTTAAAAAAACTTAACGTCTCAGTTAAACGAAAAAGCAACCTATTGGCAAACGTAAATTACTCACTAGATAGTTGTTCCATATCTTTCTGCATATAAAGACGACACTTCGGTTATGTATACTTATGACCCTACAGTGTATTGAACTGAAACTATCGCTACTGATTTTGATCACTATCACCCTAACCATCTACAACTATAGATAAAGATTATCTCATGGACATCAACTAGTAAGTCGTCTACATGTTAATAGTAATAACAATAATCTGTTTATTCCATATGTTTGATCACATTAAAGAGTTCTCAGCAAAGATAACACAAAATTGCCGTTTTATAAACATATTCAAAAAATGTTTATAAGAGTAACTTCTTAGTGATTATCTATCATTCATTTTTATCCATGAATGTTTACGACCAACGATTTTTCAATCCCGGAATATATATGATGTATGAATTCTATGACAGTCAATTTCCGTTACTCGATGGTTGTATATCTTATATGTTGTAAACATTTTACGAAAAGGATGAGGCTAGGCGCATGCTGTTAGCAGATGTAACTAGTTATTCAAAATAAATGTATACTGGAAAAATTAATGGGAATAAAGTCACTTCTTAAAAAATAGTGTCCCAGAAGTTAGAACATCACGTCATGGTTTCACACCCTGTTTCTATTGAACGAAATTTATACAGATTTAATCAATTTGCTTGTTTGATTTTTTTTCTTGCAAGACAAATATTAATTATATATTTCAGTGGTTTCTAAAGACTACGACTTCCGTAATATATCTCATAAACCAGGTACACATTTTTCTCACTGCCGTCTTATTCAAAAGCGTATGTTCAAACAGTTATTTTTCAACTATAAAATTTATTTATTCCATTGTATAAATATGAATATATTTGGTGATTGAAACCTTAATTTTGTTTGTTTCCTCCGATCAATTACTGAACAACAACCTTGAATCTCATCCACTTAAGTGTTTGTAAATATTTGTCTGGCCTCTTATAGTCTATGCCTCATGTATTGTATTCATCACTGAATTCTTCATACATTCGACGATCAACCTTGACCCAATACGATCATTTATATATTGGATATTGTTTTTGTTTGTACTTAAACATCTATACTGAGAAACATAAACAAATTCTGTACTCCCTATATTTTCTATTATGATATTTGAATTTTGTGTGTGCAGTTGTGTGTTGTGATGATTATCGATTGTGCTTACCGAAATTGTTGTCTTTCGGCCTTTTTCTATGCGTATTCTGTATATCTGTTTTTCCTGTTTTACTTAGTAATGATAAACACTTGTACATCCCTCTCTTTTGGTTGAATTATACACTTATATACAATGTAGATGAGTGAGTTGATCACTTCACTTATCTTGAAAATTTCATCAGTTCTGGCGATTTGATTGTTGACAAATTCTCAGCACACTCGAAAAGTTCGCTTGGTTTGTACCAACTTTCGCTACCTGTAGTGTGTGAAGGATACCCGTTTCTTTATCAAAGATTGAGTATCCAGGACAGCAGTTCGATTCACTTTGTGTTTAAAATACAACCTTTGAATGTTGAATATATTTGTATTATTTGATCAGAGATACTTTCGAATCATGGCTTACTCGTTGTGGAAACACTGAGTGAACAATGCTGAGGCTAGATGTAGGCTACAAGGTTAAAAAAGGACCATTGAATTAATAAAACTATGGATTTTCATCGACTGCGGTGACAGAAATATTTTCCATATCTCTAAGCACTGTCTCCTTCAACTAGTGATGCAGGCTGGAATAAAAAGAAGGTTTAGGATGATCAAGCCAAGACGTGTGGCATCAGTCCATGAAGTCATTGACCATAGGTCTGAGTACGTTGGCAGAGATAAACTACTTGGTTGTTATTTGTATTATAATCGTGACTAGTAGTTGAATATTTTAGGTGACATATCTCAAAATCAATCACAGTAGCTAGTTGTATCCAATAATCTTCTCTTGGCTCACCAGTACTTTCTCGATTAAGGTTCTGGACATCTCACGAAGCAAGCGATGTCCAACCATATTACGCATCTCTTAATTGAAGCCAATAATGATCCTATTATTCACTTTTTCAGAGAAACCTGGTAACTTATATATGTTGCCTCACTAATACTAACCACATTTGTTGCGTGAAGGTTAACGGTACTATCTATCTGCCCAAATCAAGGTAGGTGGAGTACGGTATTCGAACATGTGATTAGATAGAATAAAAGTTTAGTGTTGAAAGTCGAGGTGGGAGGAGTAATAGAAATTGAAGAAGGAGATTGATCATGAATACAGTGATCTTGAGTGCTGTTAAAGGTATGAGTACAGTTATCACTTCCCGGCTGCCCACACTGTGGAAGAGAATAAAATCCGGAATAATATTAGTCATTTTTACTCACAATTACTACTTGGTATTACTGTATCTGTCTTGCCTGTATACTTGTAATTAAATGATTGACTTTTTTTATTCGTTCCATACTTTATTACATTATTATAAATCTATAAACAAATAAATTATCGTTACATCTCGTAGTAATTTTATTGAATATATATGATTTGCTACCGTTATTATTTATTAAATTCTAGGTAGCCGAATCGGTCGTCAACCGAATGCAGTCAAATTTCATTGTGCCATTGAAATTAAACAACTACAAGCTATTCGTGGTAATTCATCCAGTTCAACAGATGGATTATCACCGAGCCAAAGTTCCACAGGCTGTCCTCCATATAGTCAATATAATCTTAGTAGTGGAGGAGGAGTTGGATTTGGGAGCGGTAGTAGTGATCCATTAACTTCATCCCTAAATCATTATCGACATATAAGTCGAAGTGATAATGATAATAATGATGATAAGATTGGTCCTAATTATAGTTCAGCTGCAATAAATCCGATAAATTCGTCATTAAAACAAGATAATTTATTAATGTCGAATGATTGTAAGCCAACACAACCACCCTTATCTTTATTATTCTTCTTACCGCCGAATTCCATGTCAAATCATCATCAATTAACAACATTGAATGATTCAAAGTGTACACAATTATCGTCTGCTTGTTATTCAAATAATCATGATAGCGCTGAACAGGATGATGTTGATAATGATGATAATGACGGCGATGATGATGATATTGATGACGATGATGAAATGCAGTCAATTAGATCTGATTACAATCTGGAATCTGATACATCTTCTCTATCGACTAATTTGAAATTGCAAATATATAAACATATGCATATGGTTAGTTGTTTAATGGTCACTATTGTGTATGTATGTGGTAGTATTATCAGTAGTAGGTTTATTAAACTTAGGAGAATAATCTATAATCGATGAGTGGTTCCATGTTTACATCTGGCCAATTTAATGTTTCGTTAGGTTTATGATATGCGTTCATTTTATTTAATTTTTACGAATCAAGCAACGAATCGATTACTTTTAAACTAGTTGGAAAATTTTCAACTCTATTATGGAACACATTTCAAGCTGTTGTCTTGTTTTAGTAAGGTAATACAAAATAGGTTCGTTTTCATTCTCGTTTTGGACGAGATCATCAGTGGTACACTACATGAAATAAAAATGAACAATTTCGACTTTTTGTAACTTTACCAAATCAGTTCATCTAGATGACTCTCTGTAAATGATATATTTTCTTCACAAACATTTCCTTACTTTCATGTTTGCTTACGCTAACGACTAAATATTGTGTTAAATTGATACTTTTTTCGGGAACTGATACAGAGATTGGACCTATGTGGGCAGGATAATTTCCGGTTTTTGACAATCTAGATTTCAATTATCTTCAGGTTGATTGCAGTCCATGACAAGAGCTATTTGTAGTTAGTGAATCATAATATCACACTAACTCGAATACCGACTGCTTGTAATCTCTTGACATGGCTCGTACCATTAGTTTATTACTTTAAGTCAACAGAATCGATACAATGAGACCAAATACTTTTTTCAAGTAGAATGACTTTTTATTCCACTTCTAGTCATAGTTTATTGGTTTTTAAAAAAAACATCAATTGATTATATCGAGCCATCCCACACAGAATACATGTATCCTAACAAAAGTTGATCAAAATTCAGTCCGGCATATCAACAATGCGATCATTTAAAGTATCGTTAATAATGATGTAAACATCGTACCCAATGAACTAGTTAATGGTTGCATGAACTCAGTAGATAATTCGGTGTTTGAAGTAAAAGACACTGGGTTCGAGTCCCTATGTGAACAAGAATATTGCTGACGTATCCCAAATAGGATGAAATGTGTCTACCGATTCTACTTTTAGCCACTATCTATTTTAACAAACAATATGGTTTTATCTACCCCGTGGTAATTATTAAAGACTAAACAGAAAATTGCTGCAAATTATGCAGAGCTTGATGTTTATTTTTTTAAAAGTCAAACTCTGAATAAACAATAATTCGGCCAAGTCTTTTTTTAAAACTAACAATAATAATAATAGTAAAACATAATTCAGATTTCCGTTCCCTCCTATTCAACTGAAAGAATAGTTTAAGCCATGATAAATTAAGAGATTACATATTATTTCTTCGAAACAACACCTGTCAATGCATGTTTCAGTTTGAAATACCACATGAATGAAACCGAAATTAGATCATTTAATGTTATAAATGAGTAAGTGTTTAAGAAACTTAAAACTTCGTGACTATTTTACAGATTGTTGTTGTTATCTGCATTTTTACTGTCTGATTTATAAATGGTTGAACTATTATGGTTTTATATTCCCCTTTTTTGTAAGTTTATGTTGAACTTGCTAACTATTGTTATACTACTAATCAATCTTTTTACAACACCCTGTTCACTGGTAATTTTCGCTTGTTTATGTATAAGCTGTGTTTTTTTTACACTGTAATGCTATCCTATATACTTGTATATAAACGCATATATGCTTGAAATATAGTGATAGAAGCTTGCCTAGTGTGTGTTCTCTTATTTGCAGTTAAAACTGGTGAAAGAAGACGTTCATGTCGATAGGACAAGATTATCCCACCCCAACCTAAGGTTAACCTTGGCAGCAGAAGCCTATGATTGGTCAAAGTTTAAGATTCTAGGTTATGAACAAAATATTATACACGGGATAGAAAAATTATAACAGAGATTCTGATTGACGTTTCAATCATAACATTAAGTTTTAAGAGTTCTTGTTATATGCGATAATTAGTATGGAAGAAAGGTTTGTGAAGATTGTTATCCTGAATTCACTGAAGCTCAAAATGCCAACCACTATAGTTCCTGAATTCATTCTCTCACAGCATTGTGAATACTCACTGCTGATGGGTCTCACCCTAAAAAAACAGCTGTCGAATGCTCTCCTATATTCAATGGTATTCTAGCCAATCAGCCCTTAAACTAAACCACATGTAGAATAATTTCTTTTGTTTCTTTAAGAAAAATATCGGTTGCAGAACATTCAGTTTTTTATAATACCGAATTCGGTATTTTCTATGATTACCTTTCAGCGATCATCACCACTTAACGATTCTTCTCAATTGATCCGTCATTATTCCAATGGATCATCCAGTGTATATGACACTTTAGAACGACATGCTTTGGATCGTGCCGGTGAATCTATCACGTTTAATGATGATAGAAATGATGGTAATGAAGGTAGCATTGATCAAAACTCAGGTTATAAAACGGTCAAATCTATTCCGCTGCATCAATCACCTATTTCGGAATCATCATCGGCTACATTTTGCGCATCTCGTTTACTTAATAATAAAAAATTATTATCCTTTTATTCTCAGGAACATCAACTACAATCATTATCATCTCAATCCAATATCAATTGCTCTCTGTCATCTACCTCTTCTATTCCTACTACTACTTCCTTGTGTTCTTCTCAATGTTCCTCTTCACCTTTTTCACTAATCTCTTCAAATCTATCTCAGGTGCAAACATGTACATCTACTATACCGAACTCAGAGAATGAACGTGTTAATAAAGTGAAATTACCTACCTCCAGCTCTTCAAACTCAACTCTCAATACTACTACATGCAATAGTACTAATACTACTCCTACACTGACAACAATTAATACAAATACATCATCAAATGCAACAATGGCAAATAATACAACTGCTAATCGTCACAATTTCATAAGTTTCGATGATCCGTCATTTTGGGAAGACGTAGAAGATGCTTTGCCATCAATTAATGTAACTTCTGAAGCTGTTTCACAATTCACTGATGGGATGCGTACAGCTACTGAATTCCTACGATTACCAAATGCAGTAAGTTTTTTTAGACGAATGCTATTCAATGACAGTTACATACAGTATAAATTATTACAAATACTCAGGCTATGATATAGTAGTTATAGCATTCAACTACCAACCCATAAGTTGCAACTTCTAAATCCGCTTCTTAGTCCACTTCAAGTTGAACAGACGAATAGGGTCATCAGACCTTATGTAACTGAACGCTAATTAGATAAATCTCTATATTCGTTAAATGACTTACATAACATGTTTCTATTTGTTACTTTTTCCCTGTTGAATAACAGAATGATTAATTTAATATGGTTACTGTTCATTTTTAAAGTGTATTAAAGTGACAATTTATCCAAGAGCCCAGTCACAGAATGTAAAATGAACAATTTCTAGAAATAAAAGCCACTAACGCTAACTGATTGGATATAGATTATATTAAGATATTAAAAGTTTTCCATGTATAAAACAGTCAATCTATACGATAAATAACTAATCAGTATTTAAATGAATCACAAATCAATCAATGATCCTTTACATCTGTTGGTTATGCCACTCATGGTAACTGAACTTTGTGTAGAGTCAACCAAACATTTTAGAATATGCTCTATATACCGCTTAATCATTCGAATCATAAATTCAACGGTCGCTTTAGGGTAGCGTCACTGATAACATTTACAAAACAGGTGGGATCTCACAGTTTTATGAATAATTACCTTCTGTGTATACGTTTTGAATCGCCAATCAGAAGTGTACTTCTTTACTGATTGAATCGTTTCGACTTTTGATCTTTGAATTACAACCTCAAACTCTGTTCTATCTGCGTGTTCCGTTCCTACAACCATCTTTTATTTCCAGTCAAAACAGATTAAATATCTTCAGTACGAACAAGTGTCAAATGAGTAAGCATTGAGTCACTGTTTAATCTTTGTTTTGAAGCCATGGGGATTAACCAACACCTAATAGATATCAAGACCTTTTAATTTTTTCAGTGAGCACTATACCTTTTTGATCATTTAGTCATGGAAAGTTTTTTAGTTTAAATCACAACCTGACCTTAATTATGCAGCCTTTCAAAACTGGGAAGCACTAGACAACTACTTCGTCGTGGTGATAAATCCCTCAATATATTTTAAACACATAAATATTGGTACAAAGGGCACCAGATATATATGGGCCGCAAAAATCTCATTCGATTTGTGTGAGGGCTGTGATACTGCCTGGCTGCCCAAAGCGAAGCAGGTGGTTTTCTTAGAAGGCCACACCCGGAGCCTTCGACCTAAAGATCTGATCCACAAGGCAGTGGAGCATCGTGAGGAGATGCAGTTCCATGGTAGCCGGTGACCAACGATTGACTCATTTGTCATTTGTTCCCTCAGGATCCTGGAGCCCATGTGCACCATTGGTTTGGAATCAGGGTTTTTCCAACTCCTCTAGGTTGATCCTTTGTGTCCACCACCAACCCGTTTAAACGTCGGACATTCGCTTCTCATCCTCTCAATTTCGTAAACATCAATAATGTCGCGAGAAGTTAGTGAGTAAGACTTCTCTCGAAGTTTTTGTATGTATGTGTCCATGTGAGAGCATTTAGAGAGATAGAGCTGACTCTCCCCACTCTCGGTCGTACCAGGGCATTTGGGGGCCTCAATAGTGCAAGTCCATGACCCTATCAGGGATCAGAAACAGGACATTTATGTCTCACGACAGACGCTTAACCTTTGGACTACTGAGTCAGAATCCGATAGCTTACATTTGAAACTTAAATCAATTTACGATATTTTGGAGCCATCTTCCATTGCCATTGTTAAGTAACTGAGTCAATCACACCTGACATAACTGAACTCCGAGAATCACCTCTCGAAATAAGTCACTAGTACCTACATGAAGAATTTGTGAAGATTGTTAAGTTTCATAATATCCGTCACCGACTGACCGTAGACATACAATGGTTATCTAACCCAACGTATTTTTATACACGAACCTTTACCCGTATTATTCAAAGTTATTTATTTATTCAGACTAAATATATAAAGTCTTTCCATAAAATTTGTGTCATTCACTTCAAATTTGAGCAACCGAATATTAGTGTCATCAACCTTCAGGTAAAAATGATATCTAAGAGCTAAGTACATAACAGCTGGTCGTACGTAATAACTGTGTTACGTTCATACAGTGAAATTAACTAGTACAATGACCTAAGATTATTGAATCTATGATTCATTATTAACAAAGTAGCTGTGTACGTATCGACAGATATTTATTAGTTTCACGTAAACCTTCTTTAAGTTTGCATCATATACATACAATAACAATTGAAAAGTAATCATATTGTGAATTTTGTGTCTAGTTTTCAGACTTTTGACCTGATTTCTAAACTAAATGTTGATATTCACTTTGTATTGTTTGTTTGAATCTTCCCATCGATGTGTTAAGACTGCAACTGGTCAGTCTCTAATTGGCATATGTGCATACTGTGCTTATTGCCTCAATATAGCCTTAATTCACAAACATGTTAAGCAAAGATGGATAGTGGCTAGCAGTGGAATCCAGGACGCGCGTTTCGTCCTATGTGGGACGAAATGTGTACCTCAGATGTACATAAACCCTGTGAAGGCAAGTCAGAGCGTATGGCGAACTATAATCTGATCTTGCAACCTCAAGTGGTGTCCGACAAGGCTGCCCACTATCTCCATTTCTGTTTAATTTCATCATAGACCTACTGTTGGAAGTAACATTCTCGTCGACTGGATTTTCAGGAATTGATCTCCTTCCAGTAACAGTGAGGTTAGACTCAGGGTATTAGGGAATGGTGGTAAATCGGTTGATGAGGTTGTAAATCTTCATCGACTGAAATGGTTGGGCCACGTGTTACGTATGCCTAAACATTTATTACCACGACGCATAATAATGGCCGGTGTTAGGGATGGTTGAAAAAGAGTTAGAGGCGGCCAGACCAAGAAATGAAATCAGTCCTTGAATTCACTAACTTCCAGTGTGAGCCATGTTGTTAGATGCATACTACTTGGTTGGAGTCTTCGTTACTATCGTAACTAGTGGTTGTGAAGACTCTGAGCGACATGGCTCATAATCGATCACAATGGCGTAGGTGTATACACTCGTTATATTTCCTTAAACCCTGAGATTTATCTTTATACCTTTCTTTCTAGAACTAATTCTCCCTGTATTATATCCTTATAAGCCATCTTTCTTTTATATATTAATACTATTGAAATAACTATTATGAATTTGTCGTTCATCTTGTTGTGTTAATGAGGTGTGGCAACTTGGAGAGATGCATATATGTGCCTGGTCCTACGTTTTAGCTGACTTACTGATTGAGTAATAGTGTTATTAGTAGTGTTACTATTGTTATAAACAATGAAAATTGATTTTTTTTCATTTTTTGATAAATAATAAAAGGTTCATGTTTATGATTGAGATATATTTTCTATTTGTTCTTTTCTTGTTTGTTTATGTTTCTGTTTTCTTTAAAAATTCAAATTCAAGTACTTTAAAACACGTTTTCGTATGACATCGATACCACCGGAACATCAAGATAATATTAATCAAGTATGGGGTCATATGATGAATCATTTTCATATGCACGCTCAACAGGTTGTACAATTCGCTAAACTTGTACCCGGTAAGAGGTGTTAATACTCAAATTACATTTAGTATTGATATGTGCTCTGTTGTTTGCTTGCTTTTAATGCACTTCTTCCGTTGTTCGTGATTCTTTTTTTCAATCAAGAGAAGTAAATGAAAAATTGAATTCAATAGTAATGAATTAGTAATAATAATAATGCCTTAGCCAACATCATTAACTAAATTAATGTGACCCATTTTATCAAGTCAAGATTTGTGTGCCCGACTTTACTGACATTGTATGAGGATTAAATGTTTATTATTTATACATATAAACATTGGTACAAGGAGACAACAAGTATATATTCACCACACTTCATTCGATTTTTGTAGGGCTGGAATACTTCCCGAGCGCTCAAACCGAAGCAGGTGAATTTTTTAGAAAGCCACACCCAGAGCCTTCGATCTAAAGGTTCAATCCACAAGGGAGTAGAGCAACGTTAGGAGATGCAGTCCCATGGTAGCCGGTGACTAACAATAGGTTCATACTTCATTTGTTCCCTCAGGGTTCTGAAGCCTATGTGCACCATTGGTTTGAAATCCGAGTTGCCCAGTTCATCTAGGTGGATCCTCGATATCCGCCAAGATACTGCCCCGTTACCCTAAGCCTGCAAAGTACCGTTTCTAGATGATGAGATCAGTGATTGTAAAATGATTTTACTGGGTATGTGGTGATTTTTAGACTGTGAAATTAAACCAACCGACCATTTTTGGATAACTCGTCCAAAACGGTAGATGCTGCGCTTATACATCTATATTTTTCTAATCGCTTGAGAGGTTGGGTACGTTATGTACGACTGAAGTTTAGTGGCGCTGATAGACGGCTTCTAGATAACAAAAATCCACCTATAAAACCCAGCAATAATCATATCCGGTTTTATGGTTCATAACTCGATCATTACGCCAGATTGCATGTTTCTTATTTCTTACTACTTGTTCACATATAGTATAGGTAGGTGTGCAATATGATCCTAATGTAGTGTCAAAATACCGGTAGTATTGTGTTATTTGGCCTAGCTCGAAGAACACAACACAAAAAAATATTTGTCTAACCTTCAATCTTCTCTGTCAATCCAAATAATTGAATACCTTGATATCATATATACCCACCATATCTTAGGACTTAGGAGAGTAAGACACTTAACTAGTATTACTGATTGGTTGGTAGGTAGAATGAAAAGGTCAGTCATATTCGATCAACAAAAGTTTCTTGATAGAGTATACAATAAAATACCTTTTGTATGAATGTAAATTTCTCATTATTGTTTGTTTGTTAGTTGTTTATTTCATATTGATTCTAATTCCTACTACCTTGTCTGGATATTTGTCCAACAGATAGATTAAAGCAAACTTAAATCAATTAATCAATACATATGCATGCAGATTGATACGAGTACAACGACGAAATTACCCTCTGTCTCGTTTTTTCTATCTCATGATATGATGTGGTCTTTTTTCTCTTTATTGGTGCGGCTCTGTTACTGCCTAGTTTTCGGAACTGTCCACTTATAATAATAATCGTATATTAAACAGTGTTGACTTATAGTTATCATATCAGCTAACAACTTGATCATAAGTTATTATAAACAAAGAGATTACGTAACCGCAATAAAGCTGAGATATTTCAGCTGTTGAGTACAAATTTTAAGGAAAGCCTATTGGAAAGTTCATGTATTTCGGAGTAGGGAGGGGACACAGTTATACTGTGTAATATTTTCGTTTGGTAAAATGATTCGGTTTTGCTCTTTAAAATATTTTCTTTTTCTAAGTATCGATTGTCCTTGATACTGTTATACTTTGTGTATATCTAGCACGCTGAATGTAAAAATTGATGATATAACTCATTTACTATTTATACATTTGTATACTCAACTCTGAGACAAACCTTATATATTATGGTTAGTGCTACTATCCTTCTGTCAAACTAAAAGTAGATGAATTGACACTAGGATTTTCTATTTAGTAGCTAAACGTTGAACACCTTGCAACCTCATAACCGCTCTTCGGAAAGTAACCACCGTTGTATCAATGATAGAGAATATAGTTTGAAAACCGACGCGTAAACTCAAGGCATAAAAAGGAAGAAATAATATTCAAAGGGAAAATCCCGATGGAGGCAATTTATTAATATTTTAATAAAAACACTTGCATACTTTCGCTTATAATTCAGTTATCATATATTCTTCAGTTTCTTCGAATAAAGAAGAAACGTTAGTAACAATAACTATACCAGAGCGACTTTAGCTCATTGATCATCATTTAAATCTGATATACTTCATATCCTGATTATCGAGAGTAAATCAATAATGTACAGAATTAAAATCCATAATGATGTACCATTAGCCTAGATTGTCTCTCAAACACCTCTTCATAGTTCAAAGCAATAGACAGTGAATCTTATGGAGTAATAATATTTTTTGTTCCCATGTAATTACTTTCAAACATTTTTATTTGCTTTACTTAAACTGATATTGTACATCGAATCAATAATATCCAGCAGCTTATTGATTTATTTCATCATTCAACCAATAAGTCCCTAGGTTCTAATCACATTCTATATTCTCCAGTTAGTGTAACTGTGCTGTATAAGTAATTCTCATTCAAAGTCTCCCTCAAGGTCAAGTATCTTGTAGTGGATGAATTCGAAGCACATATGATTCACGTGCCATTCCTTTTAGTTCTTATCAGTTATTAGGATGCTAACATTTTCTTTACGAGTAAAATCTTCCATACGTGCATCTTAAATATCTCTCATTGAGTGTTTGACTTGTTTACACGTCATCAATGCTGTAAAAAAGGTATTATCAATCAAATACTTGTGACATACTTGATCAGTTAGGCTTTTATGCTTATTTAATAGATATGTAACAGAAAAAAATCTATTGTTGTGTGATACATTTGTCCTTAGATGCAGTCAGATTTTAACATTCCAACATTTTGGTATCAAAATAAGCGTTGATAAAAACAGAAGTCTGCTTATGATTAACTTACCACCACTCTAACTGTTGTTCAAGTATGCCAAATTTTGCACTTACTATTTCTTTTCTGTAAACTCAGTGTTTAGTTCCATTCAATTTCTTCGCTAAAAATCTTTATTGATTCCCTTCTATCTCTTCTTCTGTCCTCCTATTCACAGGTTTCAATCAGTTAGGCATAACAGCCAGAAGCAATCTAGTTCGCGAAGCTATGTATTCAGTCCTACTGCTGCTACTTAGCCGTGATTATTGTCCAGAAACGGATGAATATAATTATTTTGATTTTCCAGCAAAAGAACGTGAAGTGATCATGCGACACTTCCCGACATTTAAACGTATTACAGAGCACTTACGTGTTTCCGGACGAATAATGCATCATTTAAATTTGAGTCTACCGGAATTGTCGTTATCGTGTGCTGCGGAAATATTACGAAGTAAACAATTCACTAGATCTGTTTTTTCACTCTCCACATAAATTCCTCTTTCACTCGGTTAATTTTTTTATACGAATATGAAACTTTTCTTCACTGTTCAAATTTTTGATCGTGGTATTATAAACCAATAGTCGTATTTTTATTTATTCATTTAATCACATATATATTGGTACAAAGGGCACCGGATACATATGCGCCACACAAAATAATAAGCATGAGAGGAGAAGGAAGAAGATGTGTGTATATAAAAGAAGGAAAAAAAGAGAAGAGTAATGATGGGGGTGGAACTGAAATGTACAACCAGAAGAGCTCTCTCAGTTAAGAAAGTTATAACCACTCTTTATGAAGAAAGTAAAAGAAGGTTACAGCAGGTTCGCCACTGGCTTCTATTCTGAGCCATATCTGATAACGTCTCTAGCCACTGTGTTGCACCATCTCTCGGACCCCAGCCAGGGAGTCATGAAGGACCAACAGAAGCTAGCCCTTTGCAGCTTTCTTTCATACCACGACACCATGTCATACACTGACCTTCTCTCCGCTTTTTCCAACCCGTCCCAGAGTCGGCAAATAATGCACGACGTGGAAGTCTCTGGTACGACATTCGTAAAACATGTCCAAGCCACCGAAGTCGGTGTTTCAAGATGGTGACACCAATTGGATTATCGTCGCTGCGCCCGAACACACGATGCCGGACCTCTGCATTACTAACATGGTGTTGCCACTGTATGTCAGCAATCCTTCGGAGACAACGATGATCGAGCACAGAGAGTCGTCTGACATCCTCAACTCGAAGAGGCCAGGTTTCACAAGCACAGAGCAAAACTGCTCTCACCGACGCGTTGTAGATCCGACCTTTTACAGCCAGACTAACATCACGAATTTGCCAAAGATGGCCCAGATTGGCATAAGCCGCTCTGGCTTTCATTATACGTGCATCAATCTCATCACTCACGCCACCACCAGCACTTATATAGCTACCTAGATACACGAACTTCTCAACTACTTCAATCTGCTCAGCATCCAGGGTGAGTACAGGATGAGAATCCTGCCAGTCTTGTAGGAGTACTTTGCACTTGGAGGGTGCAAAGCACAGGTCGTACCTGTGGACACTGATTGCCGACTGATTAAGTGCGGATTGCATGCCTTGGGCATTATCACACAGTAAGGTCGAGAAGTCGTTCTCCATGCAGCAGATCCACGCCGCCATTACTTACATCCATCAGAGCTGTTTCCAGGATGTTGTCGATGGCAAAATTGAAGAGGAATGGTGAGATCGGACAACCCTGTCTAACCCCACTGCTCGAATGGAACAAGAGAGAAAGGTGGTTGTATGCCCTCACTCTGCCTGAGGTGTTCGTATACAGGGCCTTTAAGATGTTAATGAACTTCTCAGGCACACCCTTCTTCAATAGACAATCCCAGAGAACAGTCCTGTCCAACGAATCGAAGGCAGCCCTGATATCAAGAAATACTACGATTGTTGGCCTGTGATAAGTATGACGGTGTTCTAACATTCGGCGAAGGGTGAAGATGTGATCAAAAGAGATGTTAGTGATTGGCATCCCGTCATCCTCGCAGATTGTTTCACTCACACCAGACTTCTTTCTGCCAGTGACTCGGATGAGTTGGAAGGGCTTCCGGCAGTTACCAGACGCAGCTGCTGCTTCCATCTCATTAGCACGCTCCGACCACCATGCTTCTCGATCCTTACGCAAGCTTTGCCCAATTTCATTACGTAACAGCCTTCGTTTGTGGTCAAACTCACGGTCACCCGGAGTAGACCGACGGGCTTCCATCAGTTGTAAGGAGCCAGAAGAAACCCAGTGCTTATAAGCGGGACGTTTCGCGAAGCTGCAAGCGGCTTTACTCGCCATTTTCATGGCGTCGTAAAGATGCAACCAATGCTCATCTATACTTTTCGGTGGGATAGTAGTTAGCCTAGAAGTTAGCTCCACTCGATACTTACTTGCAACAGATGTTGCAGCCAGTTTACTAACATCGATCCGTTGGTGGTGGTCAATCCTTCGGCCACTGAAAAGTAAGGTGAGATTGGCGCATGATCAGACTCCAGATAGGCACTTCAAAAGGAGCGGCAGTCTTGTAAACAACCACGCCAGCGGTAGCTGATCGCTATGTGATCAATCTGAGTCCAGGCTTGAGATGCAGAGGGAGGACGCCAGGTGGCACACCGGCGATCACTGTGCCGGAAGTTAGTGCTAGCCAGAAACAGGTTGTGGTCTGTGCACAGTTGCAGCAAACGGTCCCCGTTATCTGTCCTGCGACCAACAAGTCCACATCGGCCACGTAAACGACTCTCTTCTGTGCCTAGACGCCCGACCTGTGCATTCAAGTCTCCGGCTAATACTATAATATCTGTCGAACGCGCTTTCTGGAGAAGAACAGTTAATTGGTGGTAGAACTCATCCTTGATTACATCAGGGCTGCAATCTGTCGGGGCATAGGCGGAGATGACGAAAAGACACCGTTTCTCACGCCGGTTTCTTCTCACTTTGATGGAACTTTCTAATCTAACAGCACATAACCGACTGTTAATGGGGATCCAATCGATTAGTGCTGCCTCAGCCCTAGCGCTTAGTGCAACACCAACGCCTGCAAGACCAGACGAAGATGCCACAGAGTCCCCGGATAAGCGCACGTGAAACAAGCTTTTCGAAGCGATAGATGGAGAGCGAATTTGTAGTACTTCACTAGAGTTTTGAATACGGGTCTCGGATAGACAACAAACATCAACATTAAGACTTTCTAAAGACATAGCCAGCCCTATCTGTTGTCTGATCTGCATTAGTGTGCGAACGTTGAAGGAAGCCAGCTTGAACGGTGTACGTGGTTTCAGAAAGATTGCTTCAGTATTCATAATCGGTGGAAGCATTCACTTTCTACCAGACAGCGACTAGAGATCGTTTAAATAGGACAGAGTTTCCACCATGGGCGAGCTGCTGCATAAGTTGAAAATTAAGGTTACACAAATTGCAGATAAAAGAGGGTGAATTAGCGATATGGTAAATAATAATAATAATAATAATAATGCAAATTGTTTTGTTTCTAGTGTGAGCGAGAATGGAATTGTCAGTTGAATGTGTCATTTCATTTATTTTCGTGAGGGCTGTGATACTGCCGGGGTGTTCAAACCGACCCCGTCCCGTAGAAAGCCAACTCGCTAAAAAACGCTAACCAGAAAAAGTTATTCAAACCATTTAAACTCTACCCTGTTTTATTTATTTATTTAAACACATAAATATTGGTACAAGGAAGCACCAGATAAATATGCGCCGCACAAATCTCATTCGATTTGTGTGAGGGCTGAGATACTGTCCAGGTGCCCAAACTGAAGCAGGTGGTTTACTTAGAGGACCACACCCGGAGCCTCTGACCTAAAGGTCTGATCTACAAGGCAGTGGAGCATCGTGAGGAGATGCAGTCCCATGGTAGCCGGTGACCAACGATTGGTTCATACGCCATTTGTCCCCTCAGGATACTGGAGTCCATGTGCACCATTGGTTTGGAATCAGGGTTTTCCAACTCCCCCAGGTGGATCCTTCATATCCACCAACCCGGTTAAAGCGCCGGACATTCGCTTTTCGTCCTCTCACTTTCGTTAACAACACCCCTGCAACGAGAAGTCAGTGAGTAGGACTTCCCTGGCAGGTGCTATATACTCGTGGCCATCTGAGAGCATTTGGAGAGGGAGAGTGGACTCTCCCCACTCTCGACCGTACCAGGGCATTTGGGGGCATGGTCGTATAGTAGATCATTCCTATTCTCAACAACCAAATATTTTAAACTGTAAAACCGGATTATGCGGGTTTAAAACTCGCACGGAGCACCAGCCTTCTCCAGATTACAGATTACACCTTACTGACAAGTGCCAGCTAGTACAAAGCCTAGGCCCATGGTTTCTTGTCGACTAATTCCAACTATCTAACACAAATTAATAACTTTGATCATCGGTAGTTTAATGATAATTTGCATCGGCAAAGCATCTCTAAGAAAAAATAGGCTTCTGCAAAGGTGTTGAATCGTCAAATAACATACAAATTAGTGTAAATTTTATTTATGAGAAATTCGTAGATTTCTTATTAGTTTTATTTTGGTATCACAATACCTTATTGTAACAAGTAAATTCTCTAGAAATAGGTACATTTTGGTCAGTAAGATTTGACGGTAATTATTTTTGTATATCAAGTTCTCCAAGTGGCAATATTTTAAAACATATTATCTAAGATAAACAACTCACTATAGTCTAAGCATTTCAGAAATAATCAGTAACTCAGTAGATGAAGTTTCGTCTGTTAGATCAAAAGCATATCAGTGTGTTCTGGAAAAACTCAACAACTACACTTCTAATTTTTTATAATTTTATTTAATTATCGTGTAATGGGAACCATTTTTTGCACAAATTATTAATTAAAATAAAAACACGTTGCTTATTATGACAAAATAGCTCTGAGTTGTTATAGTCGTCATTATTTTTGTTTATTCCAAATCAGTAATTTGTTCGATAAATGGTATTTTTACAAAGAAGTTATGTTTCATTACGATTATAAATCAAATGTCTATCGTCATTAGAAATCAATAAGCCATTCAGTTCTGTTGTACTATTTGCCTAAAATATCTAAGACTCTTGAATTTTTCTCTATTCCATGGGGTTGTTGATGGGTTCGAACCAACGGATCCTGAATTGATTTTTTTTCTAAAGATCACAATTATCACTTTCCATAATTTGGAGGATCTTTCTTGTTTAAAAGTAAATAAATAACACTGAAATGAATTACTGTCTGTTTATCTATGTAGCTCCCAGTTTTCATGCCACTTGGAATATTTGTTAAATTCAGTTTCTTCTAAGTGTTTTATTGCAGATGCGAGAATTTTTACTTTCTTTTATAACAGAAAAACAAATTCTCACTTTGTACACTTCTTCTATTCCTTTCAACAGATTATTGTATACTTGAAGAGCCTACCGCAAAAAGTACAGCTGAATTATTTGTACTGGCACATCATAGTTTATTAAATTGCATGGCAAGTAAGTAGTTACGTAGATGAAATTATTTTTCTGGCAATAATATATTTGTTTGTATATGTATATCTTCTTATTTTTATGCTGTTATTCGAGACTGCAGTTCATATATTCAGATCTTTATTATATTAAAGATTCCCATTGTGAAAATTATAACAACATATCTTTATTAGAAAAAAACGCGATTGTAAAATTCATCCGTAAACTTAATTCCGATTAAAATTCCTTTCACTGGAACGTTTTTCGATAAGCAGGTTTATACCTCTAGCTTAATGTTTCAGACGTTATGATTATAACCGCTGTGTCCCATGTTAAATTCTCGCCTCACGTAGTTCCATTTGAACATGCGGCTAGTCCTCACACCGATAGCATGGGTTAAAGTCAAATACCTACCTTATCTTTCTCTGGTCTAATATTATTACTTTATTATCAACCTTGCTCTGATATGGTGGTATTTCAAAAAAACTGACATAGCAGTCAGTGTTAGTTAGGCAGTTTTAAGCAACATAGAATGGTGGAATGGATGTGTATTGATCCAAGTAACCATAGTTTGTATCAGCACAAATAGAGAAAAAAAAGAGAACCTACACGATGATAGTCAATAAGGATTGTTAAGTTCAAAACAAATCTAACCAAGGCATAAAGAAGTATGGAGTTTTATTTACATTGATATTCAGAAAAAATTGGGGAGTTAGTATATTTGTGTACCTACCACAACAGATTTCGAGCTCTATATCGCATAGAATCTATAATCTAGCCAGTGTTTCAACAACAAAAAATTTTATCAGATGCCTCTATTTTTCATTGGTAGACTTATTGAACATTATAATAGCAAAATACAGTAGACGTTAGCGGATTTTTTGTATCGTAATGTTCATGAGTTGAATCGTAACAAGGATTATATGAATCTCAAACAGAGGCTATCGAGTAATGTTTACTTTCAGTCTAAAAAGATAAGACTCAACATTTATTCGTTTAATAATTCAAACAGTCCGCCATAAATGAAATAGGAGATGCATCAATTAAATATACGACACTTTGTCATAAAAACGAGTTGATTGTATAATAATAATAATAATAATAATAATAATAATAATAATAATAATAATAATAATAATAATAATATGGTATTTGTCTTAGTGTATCGTTTAGTACCATGTCAAGTTCAAATGAGTTATTCTAGCCTACGGACAGACCAATTTATTCATTCTTCTCCAGTCACAATTTGATCTTATCAATTATTTGCCTATTGACCTTGTCTGTTTTTATATGAGCATACATTTGTGTATTGCTTATCCTATTCGTCACATTGGGCTCACCACTTTAGTGCTTCATTGGTCTGACTCCAATTTTAAAGAACGAATGAACATAACTCTGTATATTACTTAGGTTAACCCTATTTGTGTGACGGCGGTAATAAGAAGCCAGATACGGGTTGCGTTGGATGAATTTATTTCAAGCACTTGTTTATCCAGACAGATATTTAGGATAAGAAGCGGAGAAGGTAAGTTGGCCAACTTATTTTGATAAAGCGTGATTCAATATTTTGGCCATACGAAAATAAACTGGTGACATGTGATGAATAGGGTAAGCAATACACATATATACCCATACAGAAACAGACAAGGTCAATAGGTGAATAATTGACAAAATCAAAGTGTGACTGAAGAAGAATAAATAAACTGGTCTGTCCGTAAGCTAGAATAATCCATTTGGACTTAACATGGTACTAGATACTATAATAGTAGGATTTAAAACGAATAGTATAATGAAATACAAAGACAGTACTGGAACTCGGAATACGGCAAGGACATGCGCTATAATTGCATCAACTCTAGACCACTTGATCCGAATCCGTTTGACAGAGTCTTTGCATTGGTCACTAAGCATTTCCAATTTTCCAATCCTTCCTCATTAGGCAAAAGTAATAAATCATAATAAATTTTATAAATATTGAAAAAATATTTTAATCCCCTATCGTTACTTCATGTTCTTCTTGATGTTGTTCTCTTGCTTTATGGCATTCCTCTCCCCCCCTCTCTGCATGACAGAACCTTCATCCGTATATATGAATGAACTATATTTATCTGTATCTTCACTGCTATACCGTCACACTTTTCAATTCTATGTGTCTATAGTGATGGGTACTTCTGTACGCTTGTAAGTGCATAGGTGTATGTTTGTGTATGTGTTTGTTGACGACGGTAGGTAGATAGTCAGGCACCGCCGTGATTACAAAATAACATAAAGGAAAACGTCCTAAATCTTGGATATATTGTATTACGCTAAAAACCAAAACAATACGTGAACAAACTAAACTATTATGAATTTTCCTAATTTTATTATTACCTCTGCTGTTGTGTGCTGATTAGATTTGTTCATCTATTTGTGTATGTATGTGTTGTCAGGTGATTGGTTAACTGCCTGGCTGTCTGACCAACTGTATAATAAATCGCTTGGTTCACTTTCTACAAACAAATTCACTAGTTATTACTTGTGTATATAACTGGCATCTTTCGATCTCTCACAAATCAGCACGCAAGTACAGACACTACACCTTTCTTCACAGTTTTATTCATCATTTGCTTTCCTTGATGCCAGTGTGGTTTATTTTACAGCACACATTTGTCTTTACACATATGGTTAACATGATGAAACAATAAGTAACTGACTGTCACTACGACGTCGACCATTACTACTACAACTAGAATTACTAATACCAATTTAATGTTTTATTATTGTTTTCATTGCTTTCTTAATAGATGGTTAAATATTTATGAAACACTATCAACTAGTTTAGAAAAGAAAATAAGTAGAATCTTTCCAATGAAACTTTAGTACATGTATGTGTGTCTGTATGTATGTTAATCTACCGTAATTGTTTACAATTTGATCTTGTGTAATTAAAATTATTATTTTACGTTTACTTAGGTGTGTTGTGGTCAGTTGTGTTAGTGATGAGTTAACACACATTCATATACTTGTTGATCTTTCTCATTAAGTGTTTTTATATTACCAAATTCACTTTCATTACAGTTTATTGTCTGGTAAAAGAATACATTGAAAATTAAAGCTATAATTAGTGTAACTCACTTACTGAATACACATTTATGTACTCAGTTTTAACTGTTTTTCGTTCGAAACGTCTAGCGATCTACTACCACTCGGCTGCCTAAATACGTGATACACAAATCATGTTTTTAACCGAATTCATTCATCGAAATGATGCGTCATGCTCATCTTGATATCAGATGATTCTCATTTCAGTTCAGTGTGTATCGGTCGATGTTTTTCTTGTTAACAAATTAAAAGCTAAATTCAAACATCTTTATAATACTTTCTAGTGTTTAAAGTTCTTCAATTATTATCAGTGTGTCACAAGAACAGTCTTCTTAATTAATGCTGACAGTCAGTATTTAACTAGTTAGTAAAATACTTTAATTTTTAGGAATCATTTCTCTCACTGGTGATTAATATTTTGTTGTTTTCTATGAAATCACTGGTTATTTAACTAAGCCGCATAAGGAGATGTCAGCTTCATTGTTCGTATATTGATAGTGTTAGAAATTAGTCTCTATTAGTATTTAGTAACCTCTTTTAATAGATACCTAGTTATTCCCTGAAATTGCATGTCTTTTATATTCTTTAATGATGGTCAGTTGCAGAATTTAGAACTCATATTTTGTTTTATTTGAGATTTATCAACTGCAGACATCTGCATTTTAATGTTGGAACTTCCATTGAAATTCTGGCCTAGTTTCATGGCCGATTTCAAACCGTGTCATTTGAGGTTACCAAGTCCATAGATTCCGACTGTTACACAGGCCTGAACTATGAGGTTTACACTTGCCTATGCAGCTTAGAGGAACAGTCAGTGACTTTATGAATCACCTCTGTGTCTTGGTTTTGAACATGCCTCCGTGATTATTATGTTTAAATTACCTTATTCTGTAAAAATGTTTTATTAATATTATTTTTAATAAAGATATATTGATCCCAGTGAGTAGTCCTAGTATAACACCTTGGCTGATTATTATTATTATTATTATTCTACTTTACATTTTTCCACTACGCATCTGGTATTTTCTGTTTATTTCATTGTTGTTGGCTTTCTGTTTCATTTTCAAGAGCACTCTGTTCCAACTGTTGCATCAACTCAACAAAGACGGACCCAGTTATTCGCTCTTAGAAAAATGATACGAGTAATGGACAAGGAACATCATGGAATTTTAGCAGATTTAAGAGTAATGTTTATAATAGTTTTTAAAATTTTCATTGATATAATTAATATCACTGCTGTTATTGAATGGATTACTATTAATCGTATTATTTAATATAATATTATATTAATTGATATTCATGAATAACTGCCTCTTTTACTGTCGCAACTGCAAAACCATTGAAACCATCTTCGTTATGATTACGCCGATTAGTAGTAGTAGACATTGAGTGATATAACTCAGAGTGGTATATATTCATTCACCTTTTATTTTCCACACTACTATCAATCCATCCATCTGACGACATATCTGTCTATCAACTCGTCTATCAATTAATCGATATGCCTATCCGTCCATTCACCTATTAATTCATCCATCTGTTCTTTGGCATAAAAATGTTATCGGGATAAATTGTTGACCTATAGATTTTACAATCACTAAAGTATGATTTTTATAGTGACTAATAATCATAACAGTGGTAATAAAAATAATAATAAAACCAATAGTTATTTTCACATCCGGAGGGGATTTATAGAAAAGCGATCGAGAAAAAGAAGGATAATTGAAAATGTTATACAGTGAACTCTTTTATTATATGAGGTGACATACTAATATAAACAAGTAAATAATAATCAGTAGTAGTAACCGTAACAACAGGCTGACAAAGTGCTGCTGACTGATCGTCGCCTACCTCGACGAGTAATGTTTGGGTGGAAGAAAGTTAATGATGATCATGAAATTAACAACTATTGATCCAAGAGGCGTAGGTAGATGCATATTATTAACCGAGATCAGTAGTTGGGTGACGTGGTTCATAATCGGTCACAATGGCATATATTCATTCACCTTTTATTTTCTTCTAAAAATGGAATTCCAGTATTCCTTTATACATGACTTCTCATTCTGCCCTTTTTAATCATATTCTCAATGTTTATTCTTTCTCATCATCATCGTTATTACAATCATTTCGACCCATTAACTTTTCACACTGTTAAATTCATTTCATAGCACTGTGTTATGCGAACTTGAGTCATTGCATATCTGTCAGGCTCTCTACGTTGTGACTAACTGACTGAAAATACTGCTGAGTTATCTTCCTTATGCTGAAATTATATAACTTTTCGTGACATTTGTTTGTAGGTTCCAATTTCCTCATTATGAGGTCGATGTTTTTTCGCGAGGTAGAGATCGGTTACTGTTAGTTAGTTCACTGTATTCCCACCATGCCAACAAAGTAGAAGCTAAATATATCTACCTATTGGTTCGACGTACTAAATGTTGCAGTAATGACAAACTCTACCAGAAGTCTAAAAATTAGAAAATAGAAAACAGAACAATACGAAGGGCAAGTACAAAAAGAGAAAATAATAATTGTGGGGAAAGTTAAACAGGAGAGATTTAATTCGAAAAGAGTGTTAGAAACCGAACGATGAAAAAAAAATTACTTGACGCTAAATATAAGGCTTAATAGCTAAGTGATAAATGGAACTGTACCACAGTAGCTTGTTTAAATATTCGACTTTGAGTCATAATTTTCACATGACGTTGAATAATACTAGCCGGCGTCACAAACTGAAGTACATGGAACACAGTTAACTATTTATCTATCGCTCCACTTTTTTACATTTAAAAAATAACTTAAAGAAAAACAATTTTGAGAAATTTCATACACATATTTCTCTTTATTATCTTAAAGTGAGCAAGAACGAAGATTAGTGCTAGAAAATATACCTCAGAATGAAATTCGATTATTATGTTTATATCTTGTGTTATGTCTAAAGCAACTAGTTGCTTTCCTCTTTCATAAAAATTTGTATATCATTTGTTCTCTGGTCGTTTGGACACTTTTTATTCATTCATATGACTTCATTTCCCCCTTATAACAATTCTACTAACTTGGTACGGTTGTTATCTTAATCTAAGGTTATGATTATATCTCACAATTTGATATTCATGTTATAGTGCACATATATTAGTTCTTGAGGTTCGTGTCGATTCACATGTTCATATGATAATTAATTTCTATAAACATCCTAACATATGATTCGTTCGTATTAGTTGTTTGAATCTTTCCTTTGATGCTGTAGACTGAAGTTGATCGGTCTCTTTGCATTTGTGCATCTTATATGGATCCTAACATATGAATTAAGAAATATGATCTACTCTATGGACTTCTAAGCATTAAATTTGTACAGATAAACTAGTATGAAGTACTATTTAAAAAATGTAATTTTGTTGAGGAGAAGGAACTGATATTCTATTGATAATTATTTTAAAGATGGAATTTTCGTTACGTATGTATATGAGGCGGAGTATCGGTTAAAATTAAGTCTGTCATCAAACAGTTGTTCCATTCTAGTTCATAATTTTGTAAATAATGTGCATTTCCAATTGAGACTAGTGATCATATTGCAACTTGACTGATAGAATTCGATCAACCCTAGCAAAGTAAAACATTAGTCAGTTAATCAGTGATCAATCAATTGTAAACTATAAGGATATTATTTTCAATGCATCAAACGGGGTACGAATAAATAGTAAGATATTTTCGGATACAATAGAGTTACAAACCAAACATACTTGTTAAAGAGAGACAGAGCTTACATTCTAACATTTGTATTGTACATATCATTTGTTAGGAATATTATTATTCATGTGTATATTGTTTCTGAAATTTGAGACCCAATGTTTAATGTGATTTTGTCTTTTATATGTATATATACATATATATAGGTTCTCAGGTCTGATCTTCGGTTTCCTGAACTATATGTGGAAATGTTTCAATTAGCTGATAGTGCATCAGCTCTATTTTCCGCCTCTGCTCAAGCTGTAACACTAGCCTGTTCTGGTGTTCTACAATCCTCATTAGGATCTTTTCAAAATTCTCAGTTACCATCAACTTCTTTGAATAATAATCAATCTGATTTAAATACAAATAAATCATCTGACTCAACAGTAAATAATAGTGATTTTATTCTATCTGTTGATCGATGGGATGCAGGCCGACTTGCTTTAACTGTTCCCGCAGCAGCGGCAGCGGCGGCTGCAGCAGTTGTTGCATTAACTGAGCAAACTTCTATATGTCAAAATAATAATAATAATAATCAATTATTACTACAACCTAGTTGTCAATCGTCTTCAACATGTGCATTTCCTCAATTATCCAATTCAGTTGTTGTCGGTTCATCATCATTGTTGTCAACCAATGTTAGTCTTAGTTCGTGCCAGAAACGAGCTAAAAATGATGTGAATCAATCAAACAATATAGCATCTAGTATTCCTGCGTTTCCTACTAATACAAATAATAATATTGCTTTTATTACATCACCTTCTTTTATGTTTCCTAATCAATTACATCATCCATCTTCTTGATGTTTACCTGCCTCTCTATCCATCTCTCTGTACTTCTATACAAATATAAAATACCCAGCTACACTAAATTGATTCTGTTTATTGACCCTGTGTTTCTTTTTTGTTAATTCTTTCATTCTTAATGGATGTCTTTTAAATCTATGAAATACATATTTACCTTTCATCAGATCTATTTGTCCATCGATTTTTTGTGTTTGTTTGTTTGTTTTTCTTTTGCCCTCAAAATAAAGATGATGATTATTAGGTAACACTACACAATTACATATTGATTGATTAATTTTTATGAGACTGTCTCTTGGGTTTTTTCTTGTCGATTGCTTTTAGCTTATACTTTTCTTTCAAATCGAATTTCTTTTCTCAACCTTAACATTATTATCATTGTGTGTTGTACTTCGACTGTTGTGTATTTTGATTTGTACTACTTTTTTTGTAATATATACACATACATTGAATGATGAACCTTTCTGTAAAACAATTAAACTTCAAAAAGGAAAAAGAAATCTAACTAACCTATACATACAAATCTATAGTAATCAATAGTTTAATTGTATTTCTCTTATAATTGTAACTCAGGTTATATTTTTCGGTCTATTTACATATTTTATTATTAAATTAATTTAATTTAATGAAAGGGATTTATGTTTTATTTATATTTTTTACTAACGCCTCTAAAATTTACATTGTAAATGACATTTTGTGTATGTGTGTGTATGTATGTATAAGAAGAGACAAAAAAAGAGCAATGAAGAGTAATGAATATATTGCCATTAGTGTCATTCATTGTTTTGTTGGAATTGTTATTGTTATTGAGTAATTCGTCTTGACATTATGGTTACAATTTATACAGTATGTACTTTTTAAGTTTCTATTGTCGTTCATTGTTCCCTTCTATCATCTTGTTCACTTAATTCAAAAATTATTTATGTTTTTATTCAAAGTTTTGTTGTTTTTCTTACAGTTCCAGGTTTTTCCATGATTTATCTTCATCTTTGTTTGAATATTTCATTCTGTGTTGCATGCTATTTTAATTTTGATTAGTTCATGTCATTCAATCTAAGCGTGTGCGCATGTGTATGTGATTTTGTACACGTGTCAACCCATATTTTAATAAATAGGTTCCCTTATTTTTTCAATATCACTAAGGTGTAATCTTGTTATTATTATCGCCATCTCAGGGAGAAATGAACCTTTACTATGACTAATAATATCATTAGTTATCAAATTTGTTTTATTACCAATAATACTACTTACAATTTAGTGTTTATTATTATTATTATGATTACTGGTTAGTCTATCTATCTGTCTCATGGAAGATTTTGTACGTTTGCTTTCTATCTGCATTACCTCGGCCCCATTTTCCTCTTTCATCATCTACTCCTCTCTATATACACAGAGACACGTACATATATTTATCTATCTTCATATAATTGTTACAATTTTGTTCTATGTAAAATGTTTTGCTGTGCTACTTTTACACATATATATACACACACTATTCGTACCCTTTTTATAACACATGAATTTGCTTTTCCTAAAGTTCTACAATGATTTAATTCCGACCGATGATACCTGAAAACTCTGTTTTATGGAGTCTGTAAATTGCTATTATGGCGTTTTTTCATCTGCATATGCTTTTATAAATTTCTATATTAAAATTTTTTGTTCTTTACCACTTTTGAGTTGCTTTTTTACCCACTCCCAGTGTGTCTCTCCTTTATATAACTTTAATAAAACAAACTTATATTGGATTCAGGTGAGTACAATGCACAAACCCATATACCATTTTTTTCCATCTGGATTCTGTCTTCTATTTTTACATGTGTGTATACGCGCACCCTGAATACAGACACTTTTACTTCGCTTTTTTTCTTGCCCTGCTCACTGTCTACATCATGGTAGCCAGTGTCGACGTGCTGATTCAAGTACCCATGTTTGTCTGTGTGTTCAGGCGATTTGTTTATCACATTGGTACACATATGTGCTTACAGACATAAATAACTTCATTTTGTTGAATATTCCATTTTGTGTTCTTACTGGTAGACTTTTTTCTCCACCTCATTAAAGGAGATCAATTATCTCAGATGTGGAAACTAAAACAGTTATGTTGTTAGTTTTGGTGGTGAATGTGTGTACACTCGTATCATATACTGTTCAGTGTTATGAATAATACCAGTTAATTTCTACACTATTTTTGTTATTAGTGTTATTTCGGCCCATTTATTTCTCTCATATTACACTATTCTTTCACTAGTTATTACTACAATTATCTTTTTTCAGTTTAATTTTACTTTCGAATACAACACATGTACATATATGCATACACATATTTCTTCATTCGTTTACACGGCAGGGAATTGCAAATAATGTTGTATTCCTTTCTTATTTTCATTAAAAATGACGCAGGCACTAATTGGCTACCTCATTTTGTCATTATCACAAATTATTAACATTGTCAATCAAACAACATTGGAATAGGAATTCGAAACAGGCCTTACATGCACATACACATACACTTAAATGCACCTCACTGGTTCAAAAGTCGTAATCGAACAAGCAGGCAGTGTGTATATCATCTCAGGTGGGTTTTTTTGTGGTACTTCAACAACCTTCGTTTTATTTATTGATTTCTAGTTCGTGACGTCATTTCCATTGTCATTATTCTCGTTTTTCTACGATGAATTTCATAAATATTGTTTTGTACTTCAGGGCGTATTATTTTTTAGCTTAATCTTATTAAAGCGCCAATCTGTCTCGCTACACACGTACATAAAGATGCGCGCCATACGAATCAGACCGATTTGAATGTCCAGTGTAATTTTATAAATAATAAACTAATAAATGCGCCATTTTTTGAATTTCTTTTTGTTTCACTTCTTTTTACTTCTAAGTATTACTTAATACGCTTTTATGGAGTGACTTTTTTTTTCCAATACATGTTTCTATCCGTTATTCTGGATCAATGTGTACAATCGAATGATTATGTATAGGATGTGATGGACGACAGAAATACAGATTAAAAAATGAAACATGGTTTTTCCATCTACTCCTGTGGAGTAAGCAAAATCTTCCGGTATTCTCTTCGAAACAGCTTCATCTATACTTTTTTTCCATTTTCCACTATACTATTTATTATTGTTAATGACCATATATTTTATTTTTCTTCATAATGATAATTATTATAAACAGTAGAATCGGTTGGTTTATAGCGCCTTTTTTAAAATTATTATTTATTTATTTATTAAATTATTATTATTATTTACTTTTAAATTGTTTATTTCAACTACATATTTATCGATTTGTTTGTTGAGTAAATGTGTTTTTTTGTTCTTTCTTTTACTCCCTCTCACTCTCTCCCTCACGAGTTTCTTGTCTCTTTTGAACATTATTCATTTGTTGTATGTATGTATGTGTGTATATATTGTTCTGATATAATTACAGACAGTAAATAAATAGACATACCTGTATACATGCACCGAAACATACATACAGTTTAACCATTTTGTGCCTGACCCTTTTTTTTAATAAATTCAAAAATAAAATAAAATTTTAATGATATTTAATTCTGCTCTTTTTTTTCTATTATCATTATTGTCAACTCTGCTTTGAGTTGCACCAATCATAGTTATTAGTCAGTCAGGTAGTTGTGTATAGATCTTCTATTTTGTGCTGTATTCTATTGTTGCAATGATTGTGTATTGTTTCAGAATATGAGTTAAACAAAACGGAACATGTACGTGTAGGTATATCTTTCCAAGGTTACATATATATATATATATATATATATATATATATATATATATTCCTTTCCGTCACTCTGTTTTACACATACCCATACTCATAAATACTCTTCCATAACAGTTACATTACCATTGCCATACCTCTCTCTTGCTCAGGTAATTTATGATCACCGGTCATCTTGTTAATGTGCTTTTTTCTTTTCAAATACTTGTTTTTCGTTTCATGACTTTATTGGTGTATGTGGGCGTACAGTGTTGTTTCCTGTTCACTTATGTACCTGCCCTCTCTGATATATTATTTAGTCTGAATCCATATATCAGAATTCCATTCCCTACGTTCCTCCTTTCCAACGAATACAGACTGTGTAGTGAATACAAATTGAATTCCAAGTGACTTTTACCGTTGATCCTGTTGAGCTGTACGCCTCATCTTTTTTTTTGTGCGTTTTGTTTTACACACATGTAAAGAAGAATGAATAAACAGTTGTTTTTTTAAAAAAAACTTGCCGTCAATGTTTCACTTCTCTTTGCGCCAATTGTTACTGTGTTATTTCCTCTGTTTTCTTTACTATTCTCCACGAGAAAGAAAAAACTATCATTGATTTTTGTCTTTTGATGAATAATAAATAGTAATATATTTTAAAGTTTAGTTGTCTACACTTACAAATACAAAATATACTAGAAATGATTTGAATCTCATTAATATTTACTCTATAGAGTTGATTGGGGGGTTTTATTCAAATATTGAATGTAATAATTACAGCATAATATTGTGGAAGATGAAGAGTTTTGTTGAATTCTCTTTGTGTCATATGTAGAGGTTTTCAAAATCTACCATATAGTGTACAACAAAATCAACCTTTTTGATATGTATTGATATATGCATTTACTGAAATCCCTCAAATCAATATGTATCGAATATGTATTGTTTCTTGGCTCTACGAGGAGTCATTGTATCCTCAATAGTTCTTGGTTTAAAACAAATTATTTGGGAAGATGTTATTTCTGTGGAATCAGCCAAGTCAGTGTTGAAACAGAAACTCATAGATTAAAGATTTAATAAGGATTACGTTATGTAGACAACTTCGGAAAATATGCTTCGTTTAACTGTGAAGAAGTGTTTGAGTGATATAATGCCAACTAGTGTTATAGACTTTAATCACAAGGATTTTGAAGGTAGTATGTAGCGGAACGTGGTGTCGAAGTTTCAACAATTGTCGAACGGAGTAATGAGTTTCAACGCATTGAAAGCACGACATTGACTGAACTCCAAAAGAGAAAACATTTCAGAGCACACTGGAAGTTGCAAATGGACGGCTAATGTATATGTATTATGTACAGAATTTATAACTTCTCTCAATAAGTATACATACGTCCTGCCTGTTGCCATATTTTACAGTAGTAGTTGTGATGTGTTGGTTCTAATTACAATCTTGTATGCTGTGAGCCCATATCACGAAAGAATTATTAAACTTCTGAAAAAACTAATACTGCATAATTTTTGCTAGTCCTTCAATCCAATATTATTTGTGATGAAAATCAATTTTGCTGTGTTCACAATTCACCACACAAAATCACTCAGCTCGAAGAAGAATATCAACAGAATCGTTTGTTGTTAGGATGGAACAAACATTATAACTCAGTAATTTAATTACGTATGTTAAAGCAGTTTAATCCACTGTTATGTTAAATTGTATACATGCATTTAAAAGGAATCAGTGTTGTTCATTGTTTCAAGCCTTTGTTATTCCAATCACAACTAGTACACTTGTCATCACACTACCAATTTATAACTTTCACTTATCTATGTAATCTATTGACTCATAAACTGCCTTGATTGGTTTAATAATTTCGTATATGCATATAAATATTACTATGTATTAGAGTAAAGCCCGATGAAGATATAATCGAAAACAATTATTTGCGCACATATATGTTATATATGGATTAACTTAAGTTCTAGTGGATGGGTTTACGTAAATCCACGTACCGCTTACCATGTGTGGCGTTTCGTTTTCCGTTTGCCTCCTGTAAGTTTAAAACCGGTTAGTGTAGTCAGTCGTTAGAATTCGCTGGAAGAATGCTAACTTCTGGGCCAATATCGGTGAGGTAGTGAACTTTCATAATCACATCATTGACGTGTAACAGACGGCTATGTTTGCCGGCTACGGCTGCCGTTAACGCATGTCGACTGGGAAGTTTCCCGAATTGTTCTTCTTGTCGGTCGGTTTGGATTTGGGAAAATTGCAGGCTTTTCTGCAATTTCGAGAAGATTCTCCGTACTGATTATGATACCAGCACAAATCAGGGTTATCTGTCTGTCATGATCTAGAGACATTGCTTTCGTCAAGAACTCCTTGGAGGAGTTTGGCAGCGTCTACAGTCATGACGAATACTAAGGTAACATGTCGGAGTATGGCTAAGTTCCCTAACGTCATTTCATATCGTTTGAGGTTATTCTTTGACTGGAGAAAGCTCGGCATCAGAAGTCCTGATGATCTCTATAATCCGGTCGGCAGATGCAGTCAGCTCGTCTAGAGCGTTGTTGTGAAACGAGACAAGCACTATCTGCACCTTTTGGGGAAGCTCAGATAAGAAAAGTTATATAAACAAGCCATCATCGAAAGTCCTTTGACTAATTACCTCACTCATTTGGAAAAGCATGTCCGTTGCTAAGCCATGTTGTAGATCGATGTTGTCGAGGAGTTGATCTAACCTATGCCTATCAGTTAAATCTCCGCATTTAAGAATAGGCCTTTTTAAAGTTTCGTAAGGTTCCGAAACACCGCTAGTAAATATAGTAGGTGTGACATACCTGTTGAATTCGCGCGAAAGTGCCTTTACTACTGAGGGATTGGCATGTGGATCAGTCACGTCAGACATATACTCTTCTGATAGTTTGCTATGTTCAACGGCGTCTGGTCGTCTTTCCTTACCATATGGGGTCATATGGTACAATATAGTAATGAAAATTAGATACAATGGAAATTTTGATCCATTGTAAACTTCGTCGTTTTTTCATCTTTTCCAACCGTCCTGGAAAAGAAAAAGAAAGGATATGCAAGTGTATGTCGAATCACACTTGTACGTGTGTGAAGACACAAAGCGGGTGGAAAAAAAAGGAAAATGCACTCATATACATGCGTTTCGTGAACATGCAATAGCGTAAAAACAATCTTTACAGTATGGTATATAATACAAAGAAAAATCGAGACGAAAGAAAGTGTTATCATGGTGTTGTTGTTTAATTACTTCAATAAATAAGTTAAAGGTTGGATATTAATTCTTCTCAAATACATTGATTCAGTTCTAACTACCTAACTACTACTATGGTACCATGGACGTCAGTATTTTTCTTGATGCTTACATGATTAATGGTCTATGGTCCCTATTTTACGCTCTTTCTCTTAAGATATAGGAGAAATTTGATTTTTGAAAATTATTCAACAATCCTTAAAAAATATGTGTTATTGTGAAATATTTTATTTTTCACACAAGTTGATAAATTAAATCAGATGCAACAAGTGATGTGAATGTCCATTCGCCTTTATATTCTTGAACAGACTATTCCATAAATAATTATCCTAATCCAGGATTGTGGATTATAACTTTTAACATCTGATTATATTTGGTATTTCATCAATATTGAAAATCATCAGAATAAATATATTGCTTATGTTGTTTATTTGTCATTTTCACAGAATAGGTTTTGAAGTGGATCTAGAAATAATAACGTTCCGATAATGTAATGAGAAGACGAAGATTATCAGAACTATGTGGTGATATATTAGCGCAATACATTTCGAACAATCTGATCACACATATACTTGTTAAGAAAGTTTATATATAAAAATAAAAGGTCAACTAGACTGGAAATAGGGGTAAGAATAGACAAGGATAATAATGATAAAATAATGTGAAAACAATTTGACACCTAATCACTCTGGATAATAACCTACCAGGGTAGAAAATTCAACTTAGTATTGTTTGTTTGAATCTTCCCATCGATTTGTTAGGACTGCAACTGGTCAGTCTCTAATTGGCATATGTGCATACTGTGCGTATTGCCTCGATATACCTTAATTCACAAGCATGGTTAGCAGAGATGGATAGTGGCTAGCAGTGGTATCCAGGACGCGCGTTTCGTCTTATTTGGGACTCGTCAGCTGGATGTACCTGCATCTCAGAGTTGATGTTCACTCTGGGATTCGAACGTAGTACCCTCGCTTCAAACGCCATCGCGTTATCCACTCGGCCACTGAGTCCTGATAGCCACTTTCTTGTGCGATGGGGTGAAGTTTAAATTCAACTTAGTATTGTTTGTTTGAATCTTCCCATCGATTTGTTAGGACTGCAACTGGGTAGGTTTAAAGAGAGAACAAACTGCTTTTCAATACACAAAGGAGGTTTGAATTTTCGTATGGATAAGGCTTCAATAAACCTTAGTATACGCCCTTTTACACTTTTAAACAACACCACAAAAGCCGAGTTTAGATCAATCTTATGACCTGTTTGGATTATATGTTTAGCAATAGAGGATGATGGATGTTCATCCTCTACTCTTATTGGGTCATTCGACTGTATTTGTTTTTGCAACCATTTTGGTACATGTTCACCCACCCTAATTTTCAGATCACGATTGCTCCTCCCTAGTATGTGTGACCACACACACATTTAAATTAGTAAACGCAGTGGGATGTGACACAATCGTTTTCATGTCGTCTGGGTCTTGAATGAAGCATGGACCTCGTTCTTTCCTTAATTATGACTTTCGCAGCACAATACGTTTTGTTGATAACAGATTTAAGCCTTTGTTTCAATAAAAGGCTATTTGAATCACCTCTAAATGGTAAGGTGATGTAGACAGGCCTTTTCTCTACCAAGGCTACAGTAGGACTCGCTGTGCCCTGAACTTTCCAACTATTGATAAATTTAGGTGGATAGCCATTCCCGATTAATGACTTGGTTAACAACTTAACGTCGTCATCAATAGCGTCTGTTCTCTTTCACAGTAAGTTGTTGAGGATGATATCCGGTGAACAGA